TATTTTTAGCTTCTGTTTCTATTATTATAAGAGCACGAGATCTTATTCTGAAAACACCTGGCCACAGGAGTGTACTGTGTGCAAAAACTTTTTTTTTGCTGAGTCACTAATACACAGGTAATACACAATCTTGGCATCGATTCAAGTATATCCATTGTGACGGCATTAATCACACTAAAAAATGTGATACAGACCAAAATAAGACTTGTATTTTTTGTGTGTTTTTTTATTCATAATAACAACAATAATAACAAACAATCATATTTTGATTTTATGATTTATTTCCTTCATATCTACATAATGAACAACGTCTGTAGCAAGTCTTGACAAAGTTCTCAACACATTTCTCACAGCAAGGACACTGTCGGTATTGTTGACACTTCCATCTCCCCTCCGTATTTTCCTGCCAGCAGGTCAGGCATTTCTTTAAGGCTCTCTTCCTGGTCACTTTGACCCATAGGGGCACCATATTCTCTGCCCCGTACTTCCATGTGAAATATTTCACACACCAGCTACATCCACAGGTCTCCATGGAAGGGGGATCATCCACAAGCCAGTGAGGAAAAGGCATTTCACAATGCTCGCAAATTTGATAAGTTCTGTGATGCCATCCTGGATAATCATACACCGTAAATGTACGCTTATGGATCATCTCCCTATCACAGTAATGACAGTAATACTTTTCTACGTCAATCAAATATATCATTCTCCACACAAAAAAACATGATTGAGCGCAGTGTACTCAAAGCTAAGCTTTATATACCTTTTTCTGTGTTTTATTTTTAGAATTTTGTTACTATATTTATTTTAGCACGAGATCTTATTCTTAAAACACCTGTGCAGTAGTGCCGTGTGCAAAAACTTTTTTTTTTTGCTGAGTCACTAATACACAGGTAATACACAATCTTGGCATCGATTCAAGTATGTCCATCGTGACGTCATTAATCACACTAAAAAAATGTGATACAGATCAAAATAAGACTTTTTTTTGTGTGTTTTTTTTATTCATAATAACAACAATAATAACAAACAATCATATTAATAAACATTCAAAACTATTGTACAGTTCTTTTGTTTCATCTATGGGAAAAGATCTTCTCATGTACAAATATTCTGTTTCACAAGCACAGTCCATGATACTGTATCCTTTTAAGAGCACTTTCAGATAATCTTGGATACAATCTTTGGCTCCTTCCATCCATTTTCCTTGAATCCAAGTCCTTTCTGGTCCCTTTTGTTTGTGAAACAAGACATATTTCACTTTCCATTTGAATTCCTGATACTTAGGTTCCTTTCGACCCCCTAATATTGCCATCTTTTGTGTTTTTACCCATTGATGGTGTGGAAACTTCATTCTCTTATACAGGGTGGCATCTTTTTGTTTTCCTGGATTCTTATCCTTGAAATCTTGAATACATTCTTGTTTGTTTTTCATCCATTCTCCTTTCTTAGTAGAACCTTTAATTTTCCAACGATACTCTGAGCATAAATACTCCATGTATTTTTGTGTGCTCTGTCTCAGTGAAATCAGAAATGATAATTTTTTTTGACTTGTTCCGTTTTATATACTCTATTGTGTCTCTATTTTTAGACTCCCTGGATTTGTGTCTATTTTTATATACTCTATTGTGTCTCTATTTTTAGACTCTCTGGATTTGTGTCTATTTTTATATACTCTATTGTGTCTCTATTTTTAAACTCTCTGGATTTGTGTTTATTTTTTATATACTCTATTGTGTCTCTATTTTTAGACTCCCTGGATTTGTGTCTATTTTTATATACTCTATTGTGTCTCTATTTTTAGACTCTCTGGATTTGTGTCTATTTTTATATACTCTATTGTGTCTCTATTTTTAAACTCTCTGGATTTGTGTTTATTTTTTATATACTCTATTGTGTCTCTATTTTTAGACTCCCTGGATTTGTGGTCTTCTTAGTAGTTATGGGTGTATGATGCATCAAGGAAGGACTAAGCATAATGTAACCTAAGAAAGAACTAACACAGACCATTCATTTTTTTTTTATTTTTCAAATCGACATAAGGGACAATTTCTGTAAGAAAGTCGTACAATGTTTTTATAACAGTTTTCACAACAGGGATATTTCATACACTGTTGACATTTCCATTTTCCTTGGGTGTTTTCTTCCCAGCAGGAGGGGCATCTCTCGATCTTGGTATTTCTTCTCATGCGCTTAGCCCAAAGTGGCATCATAAAATCAACCCCATATTTCCACAGGTAATATTTCAGGCACCAATCGCAGCGACAATACCACAAACTAGGGGAATCGTTTACTTCCCAGTGAGGTATACGTTCTCCACATTCATTACATCCCCAATACCAACCAATAATTTCATCATCATAGTCCAATTCAGGTAATCTGCTGATCTCTTTCAGCTTCGCATGGCAATGATGACATGAACTATTTTCTTGGTTGATAAAATACGACATTCTCCAAACATAAAGCATCATTGAGTGTTGTGAAAGTTTAAAAAGCTAAGCTCTTTAGACTTTTTCTACTATATATATTTAGTAGGAGATCGGATTCTTAAAACACCTGTAGAGGAAAGATACTAATTTTAGACATTTTGTTACTATATTTATTTTAGCACGAGATCTAATTCTTAAAACACCTGGCACCAGTGTGCTGTGTGCAAATACAGAAAGACAGTCTTGGCACCGATTCAAATATACCCATTGTGACGTCATTGTCACTTAAATGTTATACACACATCCAGAAAAAAAAAATAAAAACCTGTTTTTTATATTTCTATATTTTTTATTCATAATAACAACATTAAAATAACAAACATTGAATACTTTGGCACAGTTCTTTTTGTATGGGAAAAGTTCTCCTCATGTACAAATATTCTGTAGGACAGCCACAGTCCATGATGTCGTATCCTTGTTTGAGCACTTTGTTTACATAATCTTTGATACAATCTCTGACTTCTTCCATCCATTTCCCTTGAATCCAGGTCCTTTCTGGTCCCTCTGCTTTGTGAGCCAAGACGTATTTGACTTTCCATTTGAATTCCTGATACTGGGGTTGCCATGACCCTAATAAAAATACTGTGAGTTGTGCACATTGATGGTCCGATAATTTGATTCTCTTATACAGGTACACATCGTTGACTCCTGTTTCTCCCGGATTCTTATCCATGAAATCTTGGATACATTCTTCTTTGTTTTTCATCCATTCTCCTTTTTTAGTGGAACCTGTATGCTCTTGCATTTTCCAACAGTACTCTGAGCTTAAAAACTCCATGTTGCTCTGTCCCTCAGTCAGATCAGAAATGATAATTTTTTTTTACTTGTAACATTTTATATATATATATATATTGCCTTTGTATCTATTTTTAGCTTCCAGGGGAAAAATCCTAGAGAGAATGTTTTGTAAGGAATAATTTCTAAAAAAATAAATCTGCTCTTTTTTTATATCACTAAATCTGCTGCTTTTTTTTTTTTTTTTTTTAAATTTACAAGTAAATAATATGGTGACATTCAATCTTTCAAAAATTAAAATATTATATATATTGAATCTTAAGATTCAAAGTTTAAAACTTTTAATCTTTTAAAACTTTCAAACTTTCAGACTTTCAGTCTTTGAGACTTTCAGTCTTTCAGACTTTTAGACTTTCAGTCTTTGAGACTTTTAGACTTTCAGTCTTTGAGACTTTTAGACTTTCAGTCTTTCAAACTTTCAGTCTTTGAGACTTTTAGACTTTCAAACTTTCAGTCTTTGAGACTTTTAGACTTTCAGTCTTTTAGACTTTCAAACTTTCAGTCTTTGAGACTTTCAGTCTTTCAATCTTTAAAACTTTAAATCTTTCAATCTTTTTAGAAAAATTTAAAAACTTTTAAAAATGTTGTTTGAGTCCTTTTTATTTATATATAGTCAACACAAAAATATACGTTGGGTTCTCTTCACATGGGTTCGACAGATGGGACAATAATGAAAAGTGGGAGCATATAAAGCACAGCAACATACGCAGCACTGTTAAGGCGTACTTCAAAGAAATCAACAGAATGTAAACGTGCATAAATACATACCTTTTTAAACTGAATTTATTTTTGTAAAGGTACTATATTATCTTATGACTTTAACATTCTTTGAAATAACATTGTATACCCCGCTCTGTACTGAATTTGGTTTGGTCACGTTATTTGATAGTCACGTGATAAATGCATGTAATATGTACTGTATGTAGGTCACAAACAAATTTCAATATCGCAAGGGCATACCCTAGTTAAAATTAAAAATCAAAGTAATGGATTGTTTCTACATAACTTGTAGTTAATGAAAAGTGCTGCTGCTTTAAATAGAATTCGCATTTTATTAGTTTAAATTTCAAGTTATCTGACTAATGTCGAAATATGTGTGACCTTTACCAAGTATTTTATGTATTTATTAAATTATGCTATCGATTTCAGGAAAGCAGCAGCACTTTTCAAGTTAAGGAATAAGTCCGTTATGTGTATTCAAAAAACGGTCAAGATCTATTAAGAGTATGCCCTTGCGAAAAGGCGATTTAATGAGGCACCTCGGCGTGAAACATGCACACCCTGTACACAAAAACACGGTAGAATTAATTCAATACATTCTCTCGATATTTTTTATATAATGGCACTAAACAAACGTTTCAGATTTGTATTAATGGTCTACCTAAGATTTGCAAATAATATTCTGTTTAATAATAAAATGCATTTTTCGCTGTGAAAAAATTACTTGATCCGCCTCTCACTGCACATAAAATGCGTCAAACTTTACCATGATGACGTCATGTCGACAAGTGCATTGCGATCAGTGACTTGTTTATATATTGCTGTGTGGGATTTAACTAGCGACAAAAATTAATGCAGTGGTAAGTTTTGATGTAGTTCATTACTCTTATGCAGTTTAGATTCGCAAATTATTTCATTTTCTGTTATTGTGAGGAATTGCTATATTTGTGTGATGTCACGGTAAACTTTTCCCGTATAAATTAGGCCCCGCCCCCTTTATGAAGCCTTAACAGAGCTGCGTACGTGTCCACAAGGGAGTAAAGCAATTTGTAATTCTTCCTCTAAACAAATGTGACATTTTCCTGTAGCCTGGATGTCGGTAGAGGTTTGATGTAGTAGAGGTTTAACTTGAGGTAAAGGTTTGTATCCCAGTTGGTCTAAAGAGATAATAAATACATTCATCACCCACCCTTTAATAGTATTGATGTAAGGACAATTAGGGTTCCAATAAGCATGTTCTACATAGGGATCGTCCTCGGGATCCCAGTTGGTGAAATGCAAACCACAATGAAAACAGATGGTCTTATCACTCACTCCTCTGTAATAAAATCCTGCTTTGGGTAAGTCTGGTAATAATCCTTTTAAAGAATCGGGCCATCCATCTTTAAAAGTAGCTTCTCTCTTTAAGAGCAGAGCATAGTTAGGGTAAACAGAAGGGCCGTCTGGATCCTTATTAACATCAGTCATGACTGAAATGTTAAGAGATCTCCCCTTTTTTATAAGCCCATTTGTTTTTTTTTTTCCCAAAACAAACAAGACATTCAATAGTCATTTAATAACAAAACCCATTTGGGTTTTTCCAAAATAATAAAAACACATGAAATACAGTATGTTTTTTAATTTAATAACAATAATAATAATCACAATTTTTTTAATAACCATAAGGTAAAGTGTTATAATCTTTCAAGATCTGTCTCTTATCGTAAACAATTCTATATTGTTTTTCTAAAGGTAGTGTCTTGACTTGATGTTGACGAGTCCTCTGTATTTTGTAAGGATAAGACACTGTGACTTCATCTATTTCTTTCTTGAGCATTTTTTCTAAAGTCTCTAAGGATACGATATTAGAAGTCCGATAATTGAGAGTTAATCCTTTGACTTTAAGGATGGAATTTCCCTTGGAGGTAAGGTAAGCATAATTTTTGGGACCTCCTGACATGAATTTGATAATGTGATCCCCGTCCAATTCATCGGTCCATTCTCCTAAACTGTTACCAAGAGTCGAATTAAATTGTCCTTCCTTATGTTGGTAAATGATACTATCCGTATCGAAATAAAGCACCCGATCTCCTAAGGGTTGTAAAGTCTCGTAGAGGTGTAATCTGGCATGAGCGGTAGTGAAACAGGCCAGTATTAAATTTCCAAAGGGACATTCTTCTACAAATTCCTGTTTGTCTTGATAATTGACTAACATCATATCTAATTCCGGCTTCTCTTTACTTCCTAAGAGTTGGATACCTTTAATCTCAATCCTCGAATCTTGTAAGAGTTGATGTAATTCCTCTTCTTCCGTTAAGTATTTCGTTTTCGGTAATAACAGACGTTGAGCAAATTTTCCCCACAAACAATTTTAAAAAAGTTTGGCTATGGTTCTTCGCACTGGATTTTTTTCGATACTTAACAGGTCCATTCTAATCCCTTCTTTTTCTAAAACTTGACGAATGTAATTTAGTTGCTGTTGTTCCGTCTGACACTCGGGTGGAAATCCAGAAGCTTCTTGTTTGATCTTTAAAAAAGTATCGATGTAAGGTCTGAATAAATCTGTGCTGCTTTCTGGGAAATGCCAAACTTCGTATATCTTCTCTAAAGTATACCCCATGTCCAAGGCTTTGTGTAATTCGGTCGTCACCCAGGTACCTGTAAGACTGCGTTCATAGGAATTGTGTCGACATCGATGTTTAGGGTCTTGTTGTTCTGCACAAGTTCAGCATAAGGGAAATAATAACTTGCCTCCCGTGCGAAAAGTAAAACTGGGTGATAGAGGCCTCGAGGTGGTAAGACCCTGCAGTGAATGAGTCCGAAATAAGATCTGACGTCCTGAAATTGATCGGTAATGATCTGAGGATGCCCCACAGGAAAAGGTCTGTGTTTTAACACGTAAGGATAGAGAGAACACACGTCTATGTATCTCATATCTCCTTTCTCACAATATAATCGTGTAGCATTGGTCCGACCTCCAAACAAAGCCTCTCGGGGGTTCAAATGATCTGAAATGTTTAGGTCTGATAAAAAATTCTGTAAAACTTCATCTCTTTGCACTTGTTCATCGAATTCATTCCCAGATAGAGGTGACATTGTATCCCATTTGCTCTAAGACCGATTTCCTTCTTAAAGTTTCTTCATATAATTGTTGGTAAGTCCATTGGGGTTGATGAGGATGAGTTTCGGTCTGTAGATTGGGAAAGCAGGTGGGGCATCCGTGCCAATAACATCCGTAAAATTCGTAGACGGTGTGGCTATCTTCTTGATATCCGTCTACAGTATATCTTCCGATCTTGACTTCTCCCCCGTTTCTCGCATGTTGGATGTGAGATCCGCTTCTTTGACTCAACCAGGTTAACCATCGACAGGCTTTGGCCGAATATTGACGAGCAGGTTGATATCCCAGGTTAGGAGTGATGGCAATGGTATCTTCGGGCACAAATCCTCGACGGTAAGCTAAATTGGCTGCACTGGCAAAAGTGATATATTCCTGAAAGGGATCTACATTCACTAAATTCTTGAGGGTGGCTCTAAACTGAGCACAACATCGTCGTAAAATATCGACGTCGGAAATACAATACTCTAAAAATTCCTTCTGGAAATTAAACACTTTTCCAGTTTGTTGGTCGTACCATTGGAAAAAAGCTTGTCGTCCACTAATAGTCATGTCGTCCGGATTGTATTTATCTGGAGGGGAATAAGGTCCCACGTAATTCTGGTTCTGTACCGTATTGAAAAAGTGAGGGAAATACCCTTTTTTCAGTTCGGTGAATCCAAAAGCGGAAGGCATCTTGGACAGAGCAAAAGGTAAAAAATTATAAGAATCGATGAATTTCAATCCAAGGATTTCCATGGATAAGATTTTACTACCGTTTTGGATGACGGTGGGTTTAATGCAAGCAGAATGCACCAGGTAATTTAAAATGAACTGTCCGTCATATCCTTTGAAATTGTGAGCATTGATGATGGCCTCGTCGTGTAATAAAGCACCATTCTTATCTCCTTTGGTAATGGGTTGTAATAACCAGTCCATGAAGTCTATTAAGGTATTTAATCCTTTAAACACATGTTGGCGGGGTCCCATGTGTCGACAATGAGGACAAGGATCCTCAGTGGGTAAATGCCCACAATGTTGACAGACCCGATGTGCCACACATAAATTAGGGATGTGAATGCCGTTTTCTTGGGTACATTCGAAATCGAAATAAATGTAAATCTGTAATGTCTCTTTTCCCTTCCTCTTTTTGGGAGGTTTCTGTTGAACGTAGCACTGATGATCATTCTGTACGATTTTCTTACAGATCTTACATTGTTTCCGTCCTCCGCATAAGTGATGAGATAATAATTTTTTAGGTATCCATTTCTGATATTGGTCACATCGTCCCATTAAATTGCACATGGTTGTTGTCGTATTTTTACTGTAAGGTCGTAAATGATTTTCATAACAACCTCTATTCTTAAAAAATCCCTGGCAATGAGGACATGAAATCTGGCTTCCGTCTTTAGGGCATGGGGGGGGGGGGGTAAGATAAACAAAAATCACATCGAAAAGGACATTTGGATCGATGGTCTGTGATGTTTCTGTACCCCACATCGCAATGATCACAATAATATTGACACCCTGTGATACCAGGCATGGATAAAATGGCATGGTAATGATGATCTTCTAACAAAATGTTTAAAGAAATTCCGTGTCCATTTCCTTTGTAGATAAGTACTAAGGAGAATTTAGAAGACATAGACTTGATCTGAAATATTTTCAGTCGATATTGAGGATATAACACTTGTTGTAATTTCCCCCATTCTTCGGGTCCACAAGATTGATGAATATCACACCCGGCTTGCTCCATGAGAGCTTAAGCTTGGTTTTTCTGATCATTAGCCCTAACATCTCCTGTCCGCATACGTTTCCATCTTTTTTCCCATTCGAGGTCGGGATTTTCTGATTTTTCACTGTGTAACCGGGTGACGACAATAGCTCTAGCTAAACACATCTTATCCCAGGGATTGTTGATCTGAACGATAGATTTTTTTCCTTTAAGGAAAGTGTCCTTATTGATCATCAGGTGATTGGTATTATTTCCACCACTTCCTTGAGGATATTTCACATGAAACATGTCGAATTCCATAGACCCGTCTCCCAGTTTAAAATCTTTTTTAGATTGTTGGACGGCTTCTATTTTGTTTAAAATGACGTCCTCGTTCAAATGTTTACATTGGGTAAACTCGTACCAGATTTCAGATTTCAGATTTCAGAGATGGATGACGTATGTTCAAGCGTAAGTAATCGTTAGGATTACACTGCATTTCATATTTGACAGCTTTTAACATGTCTCTAAATAATCGCCGAATAAATCCTTTGTTTTCTTCTTCTGGAAATTCCTCAAAATTGATATTGTATTTATTTTCTTTGGCTTTAAATTTTCTGAAATGTCTGGTGGAATCTAATCTCACTTTATAATACTGGGAAATGGACTTAGGTTTCCCTGGTGGTGAATGAGATGGTGGTAAATGAGATGAAGAATTTGGTTCTTCTTCTTCTCCATTTACATGACGTAAGGCTTGTACTTGTTGATGACGATTGGCTTTCTGTATTCTTTGTAAGTACAAGGCATTTCGTTTTCTAAGATCTAATTCTCTATCTCTATTGTTATGAAGAATTTTATCTAATTCTTTCTCTCTTTTTTTCCATTTCTTAAGTTGTCGTGTGAAATGATTCATGTTTTTTTTTTTAAATAACAACAACAGAATGAGCTGAAAGTCAAAAGAAGACTGTTTTTATACAATGCATGACGTCACAATGCATAGGTCGCTGTGATTTGGATCGGTGCCAAGATTTAAGTATGAGGAACTTTTTTGCACACGGCACTACTCCACAGGTGTTTTAAGAATAGGATCTCGTGGTGTTATAATTATAGTTACAAAGAACTAAAAATAGTTTAGACTTAAAAAATAGATTTGATTAAAAATAGATTAAACTAAAGGAAAAATAGTAGAGACTAAAAATAGAATGGATCAAAAAGGTATATAAACCAGACCTGAGAGTATATAGGATCAGTCTTATTTTAGTCAGGGACTTTAAAACAAACCTTAAGATGGAAGAAGAAAATTCCAGGACTCTGAATGATATTTTTGACTTGGCAGCAGTAATGGCTGGTATTGAACTACATGAAAGAAGAGGGATAAAAAAAATCCTAGAAGATATATGTGATATAATTCAAATTCTGAAAGAGAACCAGAAGGAAATAACCGGTATAATAAGAACAAGAGGCCCAAGGGCCACATCGCTCACATGAGCACTGTGGCTAGGAGAAAAGGAAAAATCAGTTTAGTATTGAAAAGCTTAAATGCATAAGTGGTCCCAACCTACCCCTAAAAAGGGAGTGGGGGGGGGGGTGCCATGATTTGAACAAACTTGAATCTACACTATCTGAGGATGCTTCCATATAAATATAGATGCTTCCAAATAAATATGACCAATCATA